CACACACACACACCCACACACACCCACACACACACATCCACACACACCCACACACACACAAATGATGAACGAACCGCTGATAAATTGACTGAAAAGAGAAAGTAACTTTGTGAACAAAAAAAAAACTCACACAGTGTTCCTTGTTTATTGTTGGTTGCCATGGCACCAGCTAAAACTGTGGTGGGGGAGGGGCCATGTATACCAGGGGCAGGGCTTTTAATTTTACCCACTGCTGCTCCCAACTGGCTGCCTGCTGTCTCTGGCCCCGCCCTCCTGTCCACCTGCCGGCTCCGGTCCAGAAGATCCCGACCAAAGAACGCTTCCTGGACGAGAGGGAGAGCCAATCAGTACCCTGGGATTTACTGTGTGATTGTGTGTGTGTGAGAATGTGCATTACCTGGAGATACGATGGAAAAGCCTCCTCCAGCTTCGTCTTCTTCTTCCTGTACCTCTTCTTCGCCTTCTCCATTGCCTGGTCAGCAGCAGATGCCATCTCCATGACAACATCAGCATCCAACAGGCCTGATGGGAACATACATCATTAATGTTTTAATATCGTGTTGTTGGTCTGTGTTTGTGACATCAACCTGAACTTGTTATGGAGGCAGGGGCGTGTCTCACCTTCGTCTCGGCTCAACCTTGTCTCTGTTGAATCTTTTCTGCACAGTTTGATTCTGCTGGGACCGGCCTTCCCTCCACGCTGACGCACCATGAACCCCCCGATACCTGGGTCACAGAGAGAAGGGTAGAGATAAAGACAGGAAGCTCTATGTGAGCTGGACGGCTCTACTTCCTGTTGTTTGTCATGTTTATCGTCAGTGGGAAAATCCGACTACTGGGATGCAATTTCCAACCTATTCCCTGCTGTCCCAGAAAAGCAAGATTAAAACTGTAAAATATGTCACGTCTCATAATTCGTTTAACCACTTCCTTTACGTCCTCGCTGTCATGGACATTATCTGTGATTTAACACTTTAACCCCAGTTATCGGTCAGCTCCTCACCAGGCCTGTACGGTTTCCTCTTCCTCTTCTTGTTGCCGTCGATAACTTCAGGCTCCTTGGTGACGTCATTGTCACGGGCATGGTCTCGCTCGGGGCTGGAGTCAGATTTCATTTCACACTCCAAGTCACCTGAAGATCACACACACACCACCACGTCAACCAGGAAATCGCTGCATCAGCAAATCACAAACAGACATTCCTGCTGGATTATCTCTCGTGTTTACCTCGACATCCTCCCGACCATGGAGAGAGACTAAAAACATAAAACCATGATGACTTCACTTTGCTGTGTCTGATGAGCTTGTAAACATCCGATCATCCAGCTGGACTCGCAAACGCCGCCTCATTGTTATCTTAATGTCTAAATTTCCATGAATAGATGATATGAACCACCTGACTGTTGTTCTGTGAACCTGCATCATCTCAGTGACAGGCCCAACAAGTACAAAAAGACAAATTTGTGTTTCATGTGAGTGACGTCTGACCTCTGTGATCAAGCTCAGTAGGGTGGTCGGGGTCTAGTGGGGTCTGGAGGACAGAGACACTGTTCTGGTTGATGATCCTCAGCTTCAGTTTGGGTTTACACCTACAGACAGGAAACAACTGATCAGTGTGATGACTCATCACAAAGACCAGCAAGAACATGAGGGCAGCGACTTTACCTGCGATACCGGCGCGGTGACGTCAGAGGTTCAACCAGAGACTGGAGGTGAGACAGACCCGACTCTGTGAGACAAACTCCGTCCTGAGTGTAGGTCTTTGTTTCTACACACAAATGATAATAAGTATTTGTATATAATGATATCAATGAATAACATTAACATGCAATATTAAATGATATGGAATATTAAATACAGGGTTAATGCTACACAATAAACAGAGCTTCAGTATATATTGTAGTGATAAGAGCTGACGACGGTGTCAGGTGATGTAAACATGATCACATGATCACTTCCTGTCTGTCTGCTCCACCTCTCACCTGAAGAATGAGGAGGATTTGAAGCTGTTGTGAACGAGTCTGAGCAGAAAACCTGCTGCTGAGTTGTTCAGCTTTGAAACACGAAGTCTGGAGAAACTCTGGATTCTACCTGGAGCTCATGTCTGAAAATGGTAAAGGTGAACGAGCAGCGTTTCTCACCTGGTTCTCTCATCCTGGAGACAATCTGAGCCATGAAGGGAGAATCAAAACTGTCTGAGCACCCTGAGACAGACACACACACACACATACAGTGTTATGCCTACACAGTATGAGCTTGATTGAAGAACTTCAACCCAAATATGAGATTCGTGTTTTTACCGTACGAGCTGCGACCATGTGACCTGCACAGCGAACAGTCGAAACCTTCATCAGCAGCGACCTCCACCTCATCCTCAGTGGTCAGACCCTGACACACAGCATGGACCCACCTGTGCAAGCGCACACACACAGGACGGATGGTCATGTTAATGGGTTACGGTAATGAGTTATTTAGTCTGCACCCACACTGATATGTTTTTGTTTGAAACTCATCACTGTCACTATGGTTACGCCTGGCATTGTGGGTATATGTTACCTGTCACACTGCTGACACTGCAGTATGAGGTCATCCTGTGTGTAGTGTCTCTGACAGAGCGGACAGCGGCTCAGACTGGAACATGGTCCACAGCGACTGTAGTTACTCTGCCAATCGCAGTGCAGCCCAGGGGAGGCAGAGCCACACTGAACACACCACACACACCTGACGACGAAACACACTATGCTGTTAGAGAGAAGAACAGACACACAGACAGGAGAGGGACAGGAGACAGGTGGACAAACAGAGGACAGACAGATGACGGACAGGTGAACGCACCACTTGCATTTCCAGGCTCCTTTAGGTACCGTGTGGAGGGGCGGGTCTAGACAGTAGGTGTGATAGCTGATGTCACAGTCGTCACATAACAACAGTCGTGCAGGGTCGCTGGCCTCGCCACAGGCCTCACACACCGTACACTCCAGACAGCGCCACCCTTTGGTCAGGACCACCCGCGTAACCTGAACACAGAATAATCTGATTACAGACTTTCTAGAGACAGAACTCATATTAAAAACCAATCAATCACTGATCAGTATTGATTGATGAACAGTTATCAGTGTGTGCGTGTACTGACCTTGACGTTGACACAGTAGGGATGATAACACTGTCCACACTGAGAGCAGGACAACAGTCGGCCTTCAGCACCCTGACCAAAACTACCACACACCACACACATGTCCTGTCCACACACACACAGACACACACACACACACACAACACACAACACACAACACACACAACACACGTCAGATTGTTCCATGTTTTACTTTTGAAAGTATCACACGTTGATTCCAGGTGAGTCCAGGTGAGAATACCTGTCTGAGAGTGAAGTGGTCGGAGGTAGAGAACATCACCACCGTGTTGTGCATCGAGTTCTCCTCTTCCTCCTTT